TGGACCTGGTGGCTTGCTTTTTTACTTTCTCTCTCTCTCTCTCTCTCTGACAAAACTGGAAAATAATAATAAGAAAGTTAAATAAAAAATAATTCCTTTAAAAAATTATTGAGCACAAACAGGATATTGGCAAAGCCTCAAAGTATCTCCTCGAAATTTTTACCAATCACTATGGTGGTTTTAATACATGTCCGTAAATTCTTTGGTTCTCCTCCCTCCAGGAAATGGAGCTTAATTCCCCTTCCCTTGAGTGTGGGCTGGACTTAGTCACTTCCTTCTAGTGAGCAGAGCATAGAAAAGGAAACAGTTTACAATGGAGAAACCACCTTAACAAAGTGATCGCTAGTGATAAGTTACCTCCTCTGCTATGTGATGACGCGGACACTTCAGGACACTTCACCGCCTGGATACTTGTTGCAAAAATCCATAAGCCTAGTCTAGTCATGAGAAAACAAGAGGAAAACCTAAATTAAGGTACTTTCTCTAAAATACTTGATCAGTGTCCTTTAATAAAAGTCAAGGTCAGAAAGATAGCAAAGACTGGCTCAGTCTTGGTGGCAGAGGCGGTACATGCTGAACTACACCGCTGGAAGTCGAGTGGCCAACTGCAGGTTTGGATCCCACATCTACCTGGAAACATGCTGAGTACATGCAAACCCAAGATTCTGATGAGCTGGGGGGCTGTGGGGAGTAGACCACAGTGTGATAAGATCCTATCTCTCTCTCTGTCTTGTGCACACATTCTCTCTTGTAAATAAAATAAGTTTTAAAAAGATAAGGAAAGACCAAGAAAATGTCACACAGTGGAAGAGACAAAGGAGACTTGATAGCTAAAGCAATGTAGTACCTTGGTTCGGGTGATGGAACAGAAAAAGGATGTTAGTGGAAAAACTGGTGAAATACCAACATAGCTGAAGTCTGGTTCAAGTATCACACCAATATTAATCTCTTAGCTTATAAATGTGCCATGCTTAGGCAAGATTCTAATATTAGAGGGAGTTGGGTGAAAGGCTAATTGGCACAAGTTCGTAATGGGAGCAGTGGTGTCCCACAGGGCATTTGGTAATGTCTGGAGGACTTTCTGATTGTCACACCCAGGGAGATGGTACCGGCACCTAAGGAACAGAGGTCAGGGATGGTGTTCAGCATCCTGTAATGAATGCACAGGACAGCCCACGTGACAAAGAATTATGCAGTCCAAAACATCAGCAGTGCTGAGAGTGAGAAATATGGGTATAAAGGAATTTTTTCGACAATCTGTGCAACTGTTCTGCAAGTATAAAATTGATATATGTATATACATATACACGTACACACATATAAGTATATAAAGATATAAATATTTATATATATTAGGTTGTCAGAGAAGTCATGACATTTTTTTTCTCTGTTTTTCTAAGCAAAAATGCCTGACTTTTCTGACACCCCAATACATATATTCAGATCCACTGGTTCAAGATACCATCTTTCCACTTTATTTTCTAAGAGAGCCTCCTTGGGGGCCTGCAGGTGGTGTGGTGCTTGGGGTGTTGGATTCCTGCATGGCTGACCACGGTTCTGGTCCCAATCTAGGAGCTGCTTTCTTGCTTTCCCTTTCTCTCTTTTTCTCTCTCTGGTCAAATTAAAAAGAAAATAATAATAACAAATGGAATTAAATAGATAAAAATCTTTACAAAAGGGAACCAGCAGTTAGCATAATGGCTATGTCGCTGGACTCCCACGTAGTCGACTGCGGTTCGTGTCCCGGACCCGGTGGCTTAAAACTCACGCCGGGCGCGTGTGCGTGCGTGCCCAAGATCCCGAGAGGAGAATGGAGGAGAAGGGATTGCAGCGTGACCATCCCCCCTGGGGGGTGATTTCTCGCTTTCTGTCTCTATGTCTCTCTCTGTCTGTCTGGCGAGCGCACGCGCCCTACAGTGAAAACATCTCTCCAAAAAAATAAATAAATAAAAAATAAATAAAATAAATAAATAAAAAGAGAGAGCGAGCCTCCTAACTGATCCTGCTTATAGAGTAAAGTTTCATTTTTTAAAAAAAAGTTTACTTATTTATGCCTTTTATAAGAAAGACAGAGATAAAGACAGGTACTCTTGCCAGTCGCCCTTCGCCCGGTCAACCTGCCATCCAGTCAGGAGCGTGGGCACACCCGGGGACACACCTGATGTATTCAGGTCAACCTGGGACGTAAACCTGGGGCTTTCCCATGTGGCTCCAGCACTGTGCACGGCAATACCTACCACCTGCACCACCACGGCTGAGGCAGAGTGGGGTTTTGAAAAAGCATAAATCTGATCATGTCCCTCCTTTGCTCAAACCCTGAATGGTTCCCATCTCATAAAATAAAGACCCAAGTCCTTGCGGTGGCCTACAGGCTCCATGTGATCTAGACCCAGTTAGCTCTCTGGTCTTACCTTGTTCTACTTTTCTATTCACTCCAGCATAGGCACGCTGGTCTCCTAGACTTCTGGGACTAAAGCGAGCGCACCTCTGCTGCAGAAGTGTACAAAATGCTGCTGCTTCTTTTTCTTTTTAAATTTTATTTGATTTTATTCATTATTATTGTTGTTTAATTTGTCCAGAGAGAGAGAGAAAGTGAGAAAGCAAGCCACCAGAATGGGTCCCTAACTTGCAGTCGGCCATGTGGGATTCCAATGTCTTCACCACCATGCCACCTGCCGGCCTCCAAAATGCTTCTTCTAATTAGTGTGCCCCTTTACCTCCTTCACATCTTTGCTCTCACTGAGTCCCTTCCAGACCTCATCTTTTAAAATGCACACATTCCTTCACACACCTGTTTCCCTTACGTGGTTTAGTTTCCAGTACAGCATCATCACCTTCTAACACACGACAACCATAACAGACCTCTGTCTGGTTTGCTAGTGTAATCTCTGCATCTAGAAGATATCTACCACATGCCTGATGCATAATGAACATTTGCTGAATGAAGGATATACCTGTGGAATCCTAAATTAATACCTCAGTGTCCTTCTACCACTTCCCATCATTAGTGCATTTTTCTATCTAACACCCTGACTTGAAAAGAACATAGTTTAGAGGCCCAACCATGGTGACATGCTGCTAAGAAGCTGTGCTCGGGACCAGCAGTTAGCATAATGGCTATATCGCTGGACTCCCATGTAGTGGACCGCGGTTTGAGTCCCAGACCTGACGGCTTAAACTCACAGTGGGTGCGTGTGTGTGTGTGCCCAAGATCCTGAGAGGAGAAAGGAGGAGAAGGGATTGTGGTGTGGACATTCCCTCAGGGGGTGACTTCTCGCTTTCTGTCTCTCTCTGTCTTTCTGGCGAGCGCACGTGCCGTATAGCAAAAAAAAAAAAAAAAAAAAAAAAGACAGCGGGCTCTCCCGGCCGGGG